CGCCCTCAGTGGGTTGTGTGTGGTGTGTGGGAGATCTGTCTCTTATACACATCTAGATGTGTATAAGAGACAGCTAATTGTCAGTACCAGTATCGGCCAGCAGGGGCGACTAAATAAAGTACCCATCTGTCTTACGCTACCGTTCCCAGCCACTCGGCAGAACCTTTTTTTTTTTTTTTTTTTTTTTTGGGAACATGCTCCAATATACGCAGGGAGCAGCACGTCCTGAGAACCGAGCCCATGTGAAAATAATATCTCGAAAAAATGGACACAAAAGAAGGTCATGAAGCACATTCATCATAGCCTTGGCTATGGCACCTCGTCCTCCTCGCTGGAAAAGAGTGAAGAAACAGGAGACAAGGAGCTGGCGATCCCCAACTAGTTTCGGCCGCTGCCAGTTAGCGGCCTCATCAGCGGGTTTTCGAGATATCTGGAGAACTACTTACTCGTCGACTTATAATTCCAGACCCGCGCGCAAAAAAAAAAAAAAAAAAAAAAAACACCCGCGCATTGATCCCTCACTAGACGGTCCGACCTCCTCCACGTATTGCCGGCCCAAGGTTATTCCAACGTGCAACAGGCTGGCTCCCTACATCAAAGCTCCCGATGCTTCTGCATCCTGCGCGCCCGCCGCCCGTCCAACACGCGACAAGCTCTCATCGAATTCCAAAGAATCCCGCGCTATTCCTACATGCATCAGGCTGACTCCCTACGTCAGAGCTGTCAGTACTTCTGCATCCTGCACTACCGTCCAACACAGCAATCTCCCATCGGATGCCGAAACAATTCTGTGCTTTTGACGCGCGTGAAAATGTTTTTTTTCCAGCCGCCGTTTTTCTCTCCTGCTTCTCCCGAGTTTGTCGGGTTCTTCGGAAGAGACAAGGGTTCTTCGGACGAAAGCCTTTCGCAAAAAATCGCTCCAAGATCCGTACCGTAGTCTACTTCTTGCTACGGAAGCTTCAAACACGTTTCAGAAAAACCTTAATTTAAAAAAAAAACTTGTTCGACTCCTAAAAAACATTGCACACCCTTCCCCCTTTTTTTTGCTTTCCACTACTCGTGCTTCGCTAGGAAGTGGCCATACCCCCGTTGCATTACTCACCCTGTTTTTACTCATATTCGAAAAAATAAAATAAAATAAAAAATACAATCACCGGGACTTAGTCCTCTAATCGTGAGATCCCTCCCCTACAACCCGGTGTCGTGGAGGCCAAGGACCAGACTGGCCCATCCCCCTTTTTTTTGCGGGTTGATCCTCAACTGTGCTGTGCTCCCTGGGGGGAGCAGTACCCCCCCGCCCCCCCGGCTCCCAACCCCGGGGGCTAGATCCCACTTGCGCGAATTAAGAGATACTGACCGTAGATAGCAAAGATCAACGGCCGAGATCTCCTAATGTATGCAAGTGGGACCTTGCCCCGGGTGCAGGATGGAAGGACAGCTCCAAGCAACCTTGCCACCAGCCAGCGGGGGAAACATTGATCGTTTTTTTTTTTTTTTTTTTTTGGAAGCATCGATCTTCGCTGGTGACCCCGAAAAAAAGTGCGCTGGCCTTAGAGACATCCGTTAAAATTGGAACGATGCACAGAAGGAAGATTAGCGAAATCGAGAAATGGTCCAAATTAAAAAAAAAAAACGATCAATGTTTCCCCCGTTAAAATTGGAACGATGCACAGAAGGAAGATTAGCGAAATCGAGAAATGGTTAAATTTTTTTTTTTTTTTGGAAGCATCGATCTTCGCATGGCCCCTGCGCTTTCAAGGATGACACGCATAAATCGAGAAATGGTCCAAATTTAAAAAAAAAAAAAAAAAAAACAAAAAAAAAAAAAAAAAAAAAAAAAAAAAAAAAAAAAAAGAATAAAAGTGCGCTGCCTCAGGGGGCCATGCCGCCATGGGAAGTCAGAAGTCTGGTTCTGACGACCACACCCATGATGAGTTCCTGATGGTCCAAGGGTCTCGGCGTCTGGCGGCACGTCACATGAAACGAAAACCAAACGAGCGCATCGGCCCACGAAAGGTGGCAAAATACAGTTGTTACTATTTATAGCAAACTGATGAACCTGGTCATTTCTGCGTTTCGTGTCTCGTGCGGCGACGCCCCAGGAAGCACACGGGATCTGACCAATACACTCATGATGAGTTCCCGATGGTCCAAGACGCATACAGGCAGGGTAGCAGCACGCGTCAGTTCTGAATACCTACAGTCGGGATCTGTGTCTGACTCCGTCTGCAGAATAGCGCCCAAAAGCGCATTGTCGGCCAGGACATCAGTCATGAGCAGCAGAGAGCGTAGCAGCCTTTGCACATCATCAACGGTGGAGATACCATCGTTGAACTGACGGGCCCCAACTTGAAGTCCGATTGCATCTGGATTCTGGATTCGAACTTGGGTCTGTACTGCAACAGTTCATGGGTGTGGTCCCAACTGTGCTACGTACACTCTTCCCCCGAATACAACGTACGGTCATTATAGTTGAATTTAGACTGAAAGATACCCCAAATTCAGCTATAATGACCGTACGTTGTATTCGGGGGAAGGCTGCTGTAGGCCTGTTCGTGCCAGCTCTTTTCCCCCCGCCCCCCTTGGCAAGCACCCACAGGCCTAGCTAAGTGGGGACCACACCCATGAACTGTTGAAATACTGACCCAGGTTCAAACCCAGATGCGATCAGATGACTGAAATTCTTCTTGAATTCCTTGGGGCCACTCAGTCCCACGTGATATCTCAATGGGCCTAGCTCAGTTGGTACACCCATTTGACTGTTGAAATGTGAATCAGACCCAAGTTTGCAGCCAGATGCAATCGGATGAACACAACACGATAAGTCTAGGTTACCTGGGGCCCATCAGTTCGACTATGATGCACCGCCAGCCCCTTTCTTTCTGGTAGGCAAAGGGCCCCAGGTAATCTAGACTTATTGTGTTGTGTTCATCCGATTGCATCTGGCTTCAAACTTGGGTCTGATTCATATTTCAACAATCTCTTGGTGGGTTACAACTTACAAGAGAGATTGGCTGTCGATCTTCATTATCTTCCCGCAGTTTCTTCTCTTTTTTTGTCTTCTCTTTTTTTGTCTTCTCTTACAATAAAATCCATTATAATCCGCTTTGCAAGCGGGACCTCACCCTAGAGGAAATCAAATTTCCCTTCGACCCTCCTTTCTTCTTCTTTTTTTTTCCCTTTTAACCACCAGTACCTTTCTCATATGTGGGGCCACGGGCCTCAACTTCAAATTCGGCCGCCACGCTCCGTCGATGAAAAATATCAACGGCATAGGCTACTAGATGCCCGCGGTCGACATATGGGAAAGCTAGTGGTGGTTTAAACGACCAGTACTTGGCCCCGCTATCGGCCGCCGAAAACAATATTGGATGAATTTGGGCGCTCCTGTAGTGGCCCGTACATTTCCTAAAATTGTGGCGCATTAACTCGAGGAATTACAACCCGTCGTTTATAACTTCCTCTTTTTCTTTCCCCCCCCCCTTTTGGAAAGAGAAAAGTTCAGAAAAAGTTCAGAAAACCGTCTCTAAGTATCCATTGGGTGCGTGGTGGGAAACCCGTCTTGGCAGCTCAGGCTCTTTAATGCGTTTTGGACAGTGAGAAATGAAGGGATCACTCTGGTCCTTGACTCCTAGGGCTCGTAGTAGTAGTAAATGTGCTTGGTCGTGAACAGCATATCCGGTTTCGGAGTTCATTTGAGTTTCATTGGAGTTCATTTGAGTTTCATTGGAGTTCATTTGAGTTTCATTCGAGTTTCATTCGAGTTTCATTGGAGTTCATTTGAGTTCATTTGAGTTTCACTTGAGTTTCATCTGAGTTTCACTTGAGTTTCATCTGAGTTTGGTTCGAGTTTGGTAGTTCAGATTCCCCACCTCCTTTTCTTTCGAGAAAAAGAAAAAGAAAAAGAAAAAACACCAAAAACAACAATAAAAGCAATAGAAAAAGTGAAAACAGCCTCTAACCAGGAGAGTAGAAATATATATGTGATCAGAAGCTTAGCACATGTGGTTAAATGCTGCACCCCTGGGCCCTGGGGCCAAGTCCCACTGGTAGCAGTGTTGACTTTCGTCAACGCCCGAATCTGGACGTGTTTGTGGAGATGTGCAGAAAATTGTGTTCAGTTTGTCTCCACAAACACGTCCAGATTCGGGGGTTGACGAAACTCAACGCTGCTACCAGTGGGACCTGGCCCCGACACTGATGACCAGCAGCTCTGCAATCAAATTCCATCGCTAAAATAAAATAAAATAAAACAAAATAAAATAAAACAAAATAAAAAATAAAATAAAACAAAACAAAACGAAATAAAACGAAATACAACTGCGGGCAACTGCCCGGGACTGGATTACGTTACGATGACACCTCCGGGCTGTTGCCCTGTTTACTATTGCAAGGGTGAATTTTCAGACGTCGTCCTGGAACAAAAATAAACAAAAATATATTTTTTTAAATAATAATAATACACCCGCAATAAATAAATCAATCAATCAATAATTAATCCCCCCCCCGGGACCTTCCCAACCCCACCCCCACCCACCCACCCACCCAACGGAGATAGTTAATCACCGGGCCAGTGCCCAAGTCACAATAAGCATGTCACAATTTAAAAAAGAAGCTTTTACTTTTGCAGGTGTTCGCACTGCGCCACTCCCAAAATTCGCAAAAGTTTCGTACACATCCTCTATTGAAGAATATGTCCCTTTACTGGTAATCGATTTTGATTTCCCTGCATGGCACACACACACACACACACACACACACACACACACACAAACACACACGCACACACACACACACACATACACAACACACAAACACACACACAGAGTAGCCAATGATATTTGCAGAGAATGCAACGCACGAATTCCCCAGTATGTTAATGCAAGGATTGTAATAATAATCAACAAAAGTGGGGGGGGGGGGGGGGGGGGGGGGGGGGGGGGGGGAAGAGGAAGTGGAAAAGAAGGAGAAAGCCTCAAAAAGGGTGGAAAGTTGGAAACAGCTAAGTTACCGAACGATAAGCATTTGCAAAAAGCTCCTTTTTTTCTTTTCTTTCTTTCTTTTTTCCTTTCTCCCCAGGGTGTTGTAGCGACTGAGGACCAGACCCACCGTGACATTGATGCAAATACGTTCCTCTCTTCTTCTTCTTCTTCTTCTTGCCTTTTTTTAAGTTTTTTGTTTACCCAAAACCACCTTTCTGAAGTTTTTCAATATTACAAACGCGCCCACCCATACCCAAGGCAAGTACAGCACAAAGTCCAATCAGCGGATGTCAGCCGCCCCGCCCCGTCTGCCCCCCAACCAAAAAGGCGCAGCCCGGTTGGTCGCTTTAGGAGGCTTTCGCCATTGATTTTCCATGCACTTCCTATTCAAAGAGTTGCGTCCTTGTTAAGATTAAGCCTGGGGCAGTTTTTTTCAAAAAAAAAAAAAAAAAAAAAAGCCTGGGAGATAGTACCGACACCCACGACTGCCATGAAGACCCGTGGTTATCCACTCACTACCCGTCTCCTCACGCTTTCATGCACGCAATCAAATTAGGCAGGCTGGTCTGTAGCTCTGTCGGGTAAGCTCTCTTCTTGCTGGGTATGCCCTGCAGCTTGCACTCATTTCATTGACAGTCATTGGGTCATAGGCTTGTACAGACAAACAGCTACAATGTGTCCCACGGGCCGCTGGGACAGTGGGACACATTGTAGCTGGGACCCATTTTCCACATCCCATGGGACACATTGTAGATGCAGGTGCCGCTGCCCAGCAATAGATGCAGCCTCCCCAAGAGTGCTACAGTCTTCCCCCGAATACAACATACATACGGTCATTATAGCTGAATTTAGACTGAAAGATGCCCCAAATTCAGGTATAATGACCGTTCGTTGTATTCGCGGAAAGACTCTAGTGGTGCCTACTCCTATCAGCACCCCTACCACCAGCGCGGCCTGTTTAGAAAAAAAAACAAACAAAAGAAAACACAAAAAAGAGTTGCGTAACTCGCGTCGCTGTTCACTTCACCAAGCAACATCAAACCCATCCCCTCCTTCCTAAGAATCCCCCTCGGCGCCGGCCATCCGCGGCCAAGTCCACAGCCGCGATCCCGCGGACGTGTCCACCCGGCCGCGCGGCCTTTGCGGCCGCATAGCGGGCAGTGGGGAGGGGGGTTCGGGATTCGGGCAGCGCCATGGGGCGGCGCATCCCCAGCTCCACCCCTTCAAACAAAAAAAAATGAAAAAAAACTATTTTTTGTGTGGGAGGGTTTGGGTGAGTGAAGGTATTTCGAAAAAAAAAAACAGCACATTTTTTTTTTTTTTTTTCCATTGATTGATTGATTGATTGATTGATTGGCCCCACAGGCGNGATTGATTGATTGATTGGCCCCACAGGCGCACACACACACACACATAGGTAGGATTGTATATTTCCATGTTCTAGCGGAAGATTCATTCGATTTTGCTTTTTTTTTTTTTTTCGTTGATTGATTGATTGATTGATTGATTAGTGGGGGCGGGGTCGCCCCCCCATCCCCAACAGGCCCACACACACACACACACGCAGTATTGTATATTTTCTAACAGAAGATTCATTCGATTTTCCTTCTTTTTTTTTTTGTTGATTGATTGATTGAGTGGTGGGGGAGGGGTCGCCCCACCCCCACGCCACCCACCAGGGGCGCACACACACACACACACACACACATCATCTGTCCCGCACGCGGGCCAAGGCGCAGCGGGGGCAGCGCACACACACACACACACACACACACACGTTTACACACAAATATTAAAAGCCCCCGGGAGAACTGCCAACCAAAAATCCCTCCCCCCAAAAAAACTTTTTTTTCAATTTTGTTTTGAAGTTCTCTTCTCCACCTTTTCTGTTTTTTATTTTTTATAATTCTAAAAACTTATCTTTTTTCAAMAAAAAAAAAAAGGGGTTGTAGGGATTAAAAATCCCTACAACCCCATATTTTTAATTTTTTATTTTACCCATTACTTAATTCAGGAAAAATATGGTAAATTTGCATCCGCGGCGCAGACCAGGTCGCCCGCGGACGCGGCCGTATATACGGCCGCCATCCGAGCTGGACCCCGCGGACGCGTCCGCGGGTGTTTCATAGCCTCCTCCCCGACTAAGAGAGAAAAAAAAAAAAGAAAAAAAAAAGAAGAAGAAGAAGAAGAAGAAGAAGAAAAGTTAGGCTTCTTCAGAAAAAGCAGCGCAAACCAATTGCCCATCCGGAAAGAAAATATTTCCCAGCACTGAACCACCCGTATTTCCAAGGCACTCACTTTCCTCCACCGCGGGGAACGGCCTGCACGCCAGAAAAAGAGGCACCGGCGCCAGCGTCCTTTTGGCTGGCGCCGCCGCCAGCCATTTTGCTCGGGAGTCCGAGCCCCAAGCGTTCAATTTGCCTACTGCTGGCAAGCTGCGGCAAGCCGCGTATTTTATTCTTCGGCCGGGAAACATGCTGGTAGTTTGGTTGTCCTGTTTGTTTGTCTGTCTGTCCGTCTGTTTGTTTGTTTATTTGTTTGTTTGTTTGTTTGTTAACTTTGTTTGTTTGCTTGTTTGTTTGTTTGTTTGTTTGTTTGTTTGTTTGTTTAATGCGCCCCCTTCAGTGGTAGGGGTGCTGATAAGAGCAAGACACCGCTAGCACCTGTGGAGAGGCTCTCCATCTATTGGTGGGGGGAAACGGGTCCAGCGTCCCTTCCCCCCTGTTTGATATATAATCTGTTTGAAGCAGTAAATACTAGTTACTCAAACAAAAACAGCTTCGATGGTTGTGGATAAAAGAAGATCATAATTAATTACGAAGTGCTGGCGTCAATACTGATTTTTTTTGGCAGATATGGTTCAAGCCCGGACCTCTCGTTTACTTGTGCAAAGGTGGCAGCAGGAGTGGACATCTGAGTCCAAGGGACGCCGAACAAGGGGGCTCCTCGTCTCGGAAGGGCTGGAAATGGTGTGAAAGGCATGACCATCTGCCCATATTGGTGTTCCCAGGTGCGCATTCTACCCGCTGTTCTCTTTTTTTTTTTTTTTTTTTTTTGGAGAGGAGCCTGAGCAGCAGGGCATCCCTCCTTCCCTGTTGCTCGAGGTGGAGCACGACACTTGGCAGGTAAAGCTAATGTGCCAGTTCTCGTACGAGTTGGCTCTCTAGACAAATCGCTTTGAACACCTGTCCTGCCGCAGTACAAAAGAACCGACCACACACTTCCTCAAAACTACCCAGCAAACAGAGTACACACTGCATTGGTCCCTTGCTCCATGGCGCGGTGAGATTTCTTTCAGGGGATGACAGGTGCCAAGGAGGAGACAAGTGTGTGTGACAGTCCGCGGACGTTGTCCGAGTTTAGGCAGAGCAATTGGGAGGCGCCAAAACTTCCTCCCGCCGTTGTCGCAAGCGACCGAAGTGCCCACTGCCAGGGAGGATCACTTCATGACCAGGTGCACTGTGAGGCAGAGAGCCATTGAGGCTGGCGCTGCAGTCAGCATCCCGACTCGGCACGGCAAGCCGTTTGGCGCAGCACGCGTCCAAACCTCAGTCCGGGGCCACCGAGCATGTTTCGCTGGATGCCCCTGTCAACTCAGGCTGGTGGCTGTGGAGGCCATCGGCCGCTCTGGCTGCCACGAAGGCATGTAGGCAAATCCATCCATCCATCCTGTGTGGTCTTTTTAGGCTTGTGGACAGACAGGCTCAGACCTCGTGTCTCGAGAGGGCATCCAATTTCCCCACAAGTAGGACAGCTACCTCCTCACGAACCGTGAAATCAAAGGTCGATAGGGAGGGAGTGCACCCCCTTCCTCTGGGAAGGGGACCTCTCCTCCGGCCCACCGACGTCCACATCGAGGTCGCGGTCGAGGGCTCAAACCTTGGACATGTAATCCACGTCCACGGTCAATAGCAAGGACATGCCACCCCGCCTCTGCAGCTCTACACTGGCCCACACACACCAGGACCTGGTCATCCGCTGAACGATGACGAGACACCAAGTCCTGGTAACCTCACCCCTCGCTCTAGTTTACCCTCCTCTCTCCCGATTAAAACCCCCTTCGAAGGAAATCACCAACAACACAAGCCACACCCTTTAGCCCCCCAGAAACTTAAAAAAATGTCATCCCTACGGTAAGGGAACTGTGCGTTTGAACATTTGTAAAGAAAAAAAAAAAAAAAAAGAAGGAGAAGAAGAAGAAGAAGAAGAAGAAAAGGAACTCTGTGTTTGAGCACCAACTGCGCTAGGCCTAGCGCAGTTGGTACACCCCTGAACTCTCGAGTTCGAACTCCACTGGAAGCAGAGAAGCAGATGAGTAAAGTACTAAAGACAATTCTGAATGACAAATTTTTGGACTAGGGTAGCTCAGTTGGTACACACCACACCACACCTCAACTGAACTGTTGAAATACGGAGTACGGAGCAGAGTTCAAACGCCACTAGAAGCAGCTGAGTAAAATACTAGAGCAGAGTTCAAACTCCACTAGAAGCAGATGAGTAAAATACTAGAATTATTCTGAATGACCTCGGGCCGGTCATTTTGATGACAATATCTCAAGGTCATCGCCCTGTCGAGATTCTACAGGGAATTGAACTGGTTGGGGGCTTACACCACTAGTACCTTTGTCGGTTCGGAAAATAGCGGGCCTTTGAGCTTTCAGGAGGGGTTGAAACGAAATGACGGCCGCCACAAATTAGATTTATCAATGGCACCCGTCGTCCGGCCCGGCCTCCGAATTTTTCGGTAAGCTGCAAAGGTACTAGTGGTTTAAATTTCTTCAAAAGAATTAGATTAGCCTTTGAAGCTAGGCTACCAGCTGAGCTCCCCGGTTCACCCTATTTTCCCAGGCGGCCCGGCCGTGCAAGGACCAGGGAGGGTCCCGGCCAAAAAAAAAAAAAAAAAAAAAAAAAAAAAAAAAAACGAAAAATCCGAAAATTGTGCAGAAAAGTAAACTGAACAACCTTCTTCTTCTTCTTTTTTTTTTTTTTTTAACAGTAGTTTTATCAGGGCCCATTGCCCAAGGCAGAAATACAACGTCAAAGAACTGCAGATTCAGGAGTCCCAAGGTCTCCAAACCCGCTTCATGGGGTGGAGCCCCTCCCCTTCAGAAAAAACACTGTCTTCCTAAAGAAAAAACTACCAAAGCCTCAGGGTCACATCGAAATTCTTTACCACATTTTTTTAAATAAAAATTCAAATTCAAATTTAATTTTTATTTTTTTAAACTTTTTATATCTTTTCGCCCCAGCCGGGCAAGTGGACCCCAGCCACTCTGGTAGCCTAGTACTACATTATTATTTGTAAATATTAATCCACAACAACAATCAAAGAGTTCAG